TTATTGAACCAAGTGACACCCTACTCCAGCAAAAAGAAAAGGAGGACTTGTGGCACCTGAGAGACTAACAAATTTATTTGAGCATAAGCTTTCGTGAGCTACAGCTCACTTCATCGGATGCATACCGTGGAAAATACAGTGGGGAGATTTATATACATAGAGAACATGAAACAATGGGTGTTACCATACACACTGTAACAAGAGTGATCACTTAAGGTGAGCTATTACCAGCAGGAGAGCAGGGGGAAATGATGCTCACACTGGCTGCTGAAGGAGTTCATTGCAGGGCAGTTCTGTGGTAGAACTGGATGCTGAGAAAATAGCACACAACTGAGCTCAATAGCATGTGCAGCATAGAGTGGAGAAAGCAGACCAGACCAGTACCTAAGTGTAGCCCGCTGTGCAGTGGGACAGAAGGGATGTTTCTGCCACTGCCTATTACATGAACGCTCCCTGCCCACACTGACACTGCACCAGTAGAGATTATTATAGCAGAGGACCAAACTGCAGTTGACCTTACTCAGAGAGCGTCTACTTCAAATGGTGGTGTGGATTCTGCCACGGTCTGATCTGGATCCTGCCTTGATTCCAGTTTCCACAGGTTTACATGAGTGTAATAAATTGGAACCTCAGGGATTCTCTCCTGGTCTCAGGCCTTGGGGACTTTCTGTGGCTTTTTTTAGACAGGCTGATGATAGAGGGGGTTGGATTTACCAGATTTCAGTATCTGTCCACTTGCTTCTCATGGAGAGCAAGCCTCTTACTTGGACTAGACACGTGTGTAGCAGAGTCAGAACTACCCCCGTGCACATTATACCCCTGCATGGGCTGCAAGGACCTTGGGTCTGGGTGCAGAAGTAAGAGGTGCTTTACAACCTGCCTGCTTGCTCCCTTGTCGTAAATATAAAGGGAAGGGTAAACACCTTTAAAATCCCTCCTGGCCAAAGGAAAAAACCCTTTCACCTGTAAAGGGTTAAGAAGCTAAGATAACCTCGCTGGCACCTGACCAAAATGACTAATGAGGAGACAAGATACTTTCAAAGCTGGAGAGGGGGAAGAAACAAAGGGTCTCTGTCTGTCTGTGTGATGCCTTTTGTGGGGACAGAACAGGAATGGAGTCTTAAAACTTAGTAAGTAATCTAGCTAGGTATGCATTAGATTCTGTTTGTTTAAATGGCTGAGAAAATAAGTTGTGCTGAATGGAATTGATATTCCTGTCTTTGTGTCTTTTTATAACTTAAGGTTTTGTCTAGAGGGATTCTCTATGTTTTGAATCTAATTACCCTGTAAGGTATTTACCATCCTGATTTTATAGAGGTGATTCTTTTTACTTTTTCTTCTATTAAAATTCTTCTTTTAAGAAACTGAAAGCTTTTTCACTGTTCTTAAGATCCAAGGGTTTGGGTCTGTGCTCACCTATGCAAATTGGTGAGGATTTTTATCAAGCCTTCCCCAGGAAGGGGGGTGTAAGGTTTTGGTGAGGATTTTGGAAGGAAAGATGTTTCCAAACAAACTCTTTCCAAATAATAAATACGGGTTAGATGTTTGGTGGTGGCAGCAAAAGTCCAAGGGCAAAAGGTAAAATAGTTTGTACCTTGGAGAAGTTTTAACCTGAGCTGGTAAAAGTAAGCTTAAGAGGTTTTCATGCAGGTCCCCACATCTGTACCCTAGACTTCAGAGTGGGGAAGGAAACTTGTCATCCCTAAAATGTGCTCAGGGAATGGAGAAGCTATGACCTGACCCTTGCTACTTCTGGCTAGCATAACTGAGTCAGCATGGGTGGGTCAGGTTGTAATGTGATATAAACCAGCTGCAAATAGTTCCCCCTTAGAATAAGGAGGAAGTGAGAGAGGAGTGAGTCAGACTCACAATACCCTGAGGTGTGATGCAGCTCACGTGTTCCCCTTTTAAGTAGGGAGTATACAGAAACCATGGAAATCACCCACTCTACTTAATCTCAGTTTTGATCTCTTCATCTCCCACTGAGGTGTCTGACTCGGGTTGATTGACCTTCTAGCGCTACATGGTTCCAATGGAACCTGTCAGGATTCTTCTGGCTTTGCCTCAGTGGGGATCACACAACAGCTATCCCACCATGTTCACCATTTGCCTTGAGACACAACATGTTTCCTTTGAAGCAGTGTTCCCCCCACAATGTGGGCTAGCTCCCTCCCAGCCCCTCTTCTCTTTGAACCTGGCGAGTTCAATGAAACTCAGTATCATGACTTTCAGTTGGGTCTGAAAGGGCTTTTACTGGAATGCAGGGGGCTGCCTGACTAGCAAAGGCGAGATAGAAAATGTCTCGGAATGCCTTGCAGATCCCAGACATTTTACTGGGTTGACCCTTCCTCCCCCCGAAACTCTCTTCCCATCTGACAGTCTCTCTCCAGCCTTCACCTACACAAGAGACCACACCGGGTTCCTGACAGCATTTTACAGCTAGATATTTTTTTTTTTCTAGCCAAGCAAAGGGTTTTGCTGGACATAATCCAAAACCAAAAGGACCTCAGCACACCTTTGTGATGTGTGTTCTTAGCCCAGCTTCGATGCCTGGACACTGTTGTCCCACGTGAGGCCCTGAACTTGGTTTCATTTTCAAGGTGTTTCCCCAGCCTCTCACCTTCAATGAATGAGACGCTTCCTCTTATGTTGGTCAATGCGTTTAGCACACATGGGTTACTGAGTGGGGTGATACTCTGGTGGTGCCAGCAGTCTTGGATTTTAATGTCTGTCTTTGCTGCCCTACTCTAGCATGCAAAGCTGTAACCCCCTGCCGCTGAGATCACTACAACCAGTGCCTTCCATGTCACTGCAGTTGAAAGCAGCTTTTCCCCATTCCCTCTGCACTGTGCACATTTGTCAGCTAATTACTTTTGCGTTTAGGCCCAAGCTGTGACAAATACCAAGACTGACCACAGGACTGGGGAAAGGGAAGAGGAGTATTCTGATTTAACAGATTGGGACTGAGGCCCAGAACTATTCAATTACTTGTTTCTGGTCACAAATCAGGTTTGAAATATTTTGACTGCTCAAACCAGAGCATTGAATTCTTAGGAATGCTGAGTCAGCACTTCCCCTTCTACAGTAGCAGCTATAATAACTAGGGTTTCCAACTTTGTAATATTTAAGAACCAGACACTCCAGCAGGAGTGCCAGAACCTCCCCTCCCCTGCCCTGCCCTTTCCCGTGGAGGACCCACCCCCCCATCCACTCTTTCCCCCTCCCTCCGTTGCTCACTGCTTTTCCCCTCTCCACCCGCTCCCTATGTGGGGCGGGAGGGACTTGCCTGCAGAGCCAGGGCTGGGAGCTGCAGCCACCCAATGCAGGTAGGAGATGATCCTGACTATGGCATGGGTGATGACTCTGGGCCTCCCCGTCTCCTCTGCCTGCAGTAACTGGATTTTGGGTGTCCAGTCAGTAGATCTGACTGGACACCGTCAGATCCCCTTTTCAACAAGACTTTCTGGTTGAAAACAGGACACCTGGCCACTCTAGTAATAACGTGTAGCAAGCATGTATGTAAAGTGAGTCCTGTGTAGGGGTGTGTGTGTGTGGCCGGTCTAGCATGGAATCCTCTTCAAACTGGGCGATTCCCTGCTCTCCTTGGACAAAGATCCTCTAGTGCTGTTTGTAAACGGGGCTGGAGCATGAGAGGAAAATATTTCTTGTGTTCTTGGCCATAACCCACCTCTCTGCCCAGTGTTGTGCAGCTATGTATGTAGGCCCTGATCCTACAGCTCTCCATGTGGCTGGATCTCTTGGCCTTTCTAGAGCCCCAGTGACTTCAGCAGGCTCTGCCTAGCATAGCAGGTTTGTATGTGCAGAGCCAGTTCCAGGATTGGGGCCCTAGTTTATAAAGGGTTTTGTTATCAAAAGGAGGTGCTCAAGTAAATGGGTAGGGCCTTTGGGGAAGGGCTTGCATCTTCATGTGTGAGAGCAGCCCCTAACGCTCTGAGGGTGCCCCTGGAATGTAAACAAATACAAGGGGCCAAGTGAACCTCAACTTGGGAACTACCAGCTCCCTAAACTTTGTTTCAAAGGAGAATCCCCCGGTCCCCAAAGCCTGGTTCTGAGTTGCAGCTGTGGCCAAAGGTTGTGTTTTAAAATATTTCTACGACTGTAATATTACAAACTCTTCTGGGTTGCTTTCAGCATTTGTAGAATAACCGCTATCGTGGGGTTAAAAACTAGTTTGGTAAATTTCAGCCCAAGTCATATTTTCAAAGCTTTTTATAAACCCTTGAAAACTGGCCTGTAGGGAAAGGTGAGAAGTCCCTTCCAGTGTGGGTTACAGTACACTCCCCCCCCCCCCCGCTGTGTAGCAAAGGCACCAGGGCAGTTTATTGGATTACGGTAATGGTAGGGTCACCAATCAGAATCCAGTCCCCATGCTGCTAGGGGTTGTGCAAACATGTAACAAAAGGACAGGCCCTGCCTGGGAATGCTCAGGGCTTGTTTACACTTGGATTCCTTGCATCAGTGAAGCTTCTCTGATGCAAATGTGAGGGTATGTTCATGTAGTGTAGACACTTACTTACTACAGTGATGGAAGGGGTTTTTCTGTCACAATAGGAAATCTGCCCTCTTGAGAGGCAATCACAAGGTTGATGGTCAGCCTAGTGGTGTCTATACTGGGGTTTAGGTTGACGTAACTACTTCTCTCGAGGGTGTGAATTTTTCATACCCCTGAGTGATGTTGCTAGGTCAGTCCAAGTTTTAGGTATAGACTGGGTTTAGATACACTGTGGTATAGCTACACTGGTGCAGACCTTCCCACCCCAACTAGCCTTTACATTGCAGGTTTAGGACAAGGTGACACGTGGTAAGGTTGCACCTGCTACATTGCTACACTGGAGATTGCAGTTCAGCAATATCTGTGGCTCAGCTGTTCCCTGCCCCCCACAAAAAACCTGAAGTGTTTTAATAACCCCCCCTTTTTTCTACTGTTCTTTCGCTATAATCTGATGACAGCAGCAAATAATGCTCCCAAAGACACCACATTCAGAAAACATAACTTTATTATTAGTTGCAATATACATTGTATTCCTTTAAAGAATCCTAAACTTGTACACACTTTTCCCACTGAAAATACATGTATGCACATGTGTATATATTATATTCAACTGGAGCACAATGGAATGACGGGCTCAGAAATTACTTGGAAAAATAAGTGATCTCTACAGGTTTATGCTGACAGTGTGCTAGGGTGACCAATATAAAAAGAGCAGGCTAAATAGAAAACTGTGTGGATTACACATTATGAGGATGGTCTTTTGATGCTATGCTTGGTACTTGTAGTGATACTGCATATACAGTAGTTACAGACTACTATTGCTCTGTCATAAATGCATTCTATACTCAGAGGGAAACTATCCCCATTTGTCTCAGCAGAGCAATCTGGAAGTTCATAAGGCCAGCAGTGCTCCCCATAAAGTGTCCATGATATTTGAAAATAAAGGTTTTAATTACATTTCTGCTGGTGGCAGATCTTCCTGCTGCTAATGAAATTGCTCAAGAAGGGATTTCCACTAGGACATGGTGGAGACTAAATGTGCCAGTTTAAGCCAGTTTGGACCTGTGGCAATGGATCAACTATAGCAGTAAGAGTTTAAATGTGAGGTGGATCCCCAACTGCTGTCAATCAGTATAGCACAAGTGACCTCACTAGAGCTATGTTAATTTACACCTGTATCTTGAAGTCTATACTGAAAAAACACTGATTTACACTACCTGAGGGTCTGGCTCTGTTTCTATGTTAAACAGTGAGATTTGAGCTCTATTCAAGTCTGTCAGAAACTGGCCCTCAATTTCTCAGCTAGGTCTTCTTGAGGCCCAGTTTCCCAAAAGACAGTGCTTCAGAAAATTGTCTGAGAGCAGCAGCAAATGTCAGCTTTGCCAAATGTCATCTGAACACTTTATTTTCAAACACAGCTTCCCCTGCCTGTGTGACCTTGCTGAGCTTAGCTGGACAAAAGGACAGGTTTTCTTTTTATCATCCTCATTTTCTTCTTACATATTGCTTCCAAGCTCAGGAAGAAAGCAGCTCTCTCTCAGGCTAAAGAACAGAACTGATCAAAGGCACTGACCCCAGGACTTCCTATGGCCACATACAGGTTCTAGGGAGCAGCAGGGCTGCGACCATAACACTGTAGGGTTAGTTCTTTCTTTCAAATGCTTGTTCATTTAGGATTCTCCCCTCCCTCCCCCCAAAAGAGCTCAGTACTCAACTAATTCTGTTCCAATTTAAGTCAATGGGAGCAGACTCAGAACAACATTAGGTGCTTTTCAAAATCATATCTTCTAATCACCTCTTTTTATTTATAAAATATTTCTAGTACTCCCTATGTCACCCTAGCACATATCACTGTATGATTACACCTACCCTAATGCATGCTCAAGGCATAAGAGTTAGGCAGGGTCTCCCACCACTGTAATGTCTCCATGCTCACCATCTCTTCCCAGCTCACGGTTAGTGTGTGTGTGTGGGGGGAACGACCGACCTGTAGGAGAAAAATGTTGCCACAAGCCAGCTCACTGGACACTCTTGAGCATGCGATGCCTGAGCTTCACCTTGTGTTGATACCCAAAAGCCATTGTAGGGGGTTTCCAGGTGTTGGTGGTAGCAGTTGATTGGTTGGAACAGGGTTTTAAATTCAAGTTGAGCTGAACTGCTGAGATCTATAATGATTTCTCAGATTGCAGCCAGGAAGCTAGAGCTGTACAAATGCCAGAGCCAATCTGTAAAGAACAGCATTTCTGATTAGATGCACTACACAGTTGCAAGCACAAGGATGACTTCCATTAACTTCTCAAACCCTTATTAGAGAACAGGTCTGAGCTCGTGAAAGTCAGTCTCTGATGCTTGTTGTTATTGCACAAGGTTACCTTTCCTGTGTCCTGCCAAAATGGGCTTCAAGGGGAAGTGAAATATTGGTGTAATAGTGGTACATTGCCTTACAAGCCACTGAAACAGCACCAAACTGTCATGATGGGAATACTGCCCTACTCTCCTCCAGGGCAGAGTTGGAAAGGGAGCAGTAAGGACCTGCAATAGCTCCAGCTGCTGTACAATGCCTGTATGAGACACATGCCCCCTCTACAATGGAAACCATGGAGGATACTTGCTTTTCCCTGTGATGAAATGCTTCCCGCACCCTCTGCAGAACTTGGATGGACTTATTGTTGGAACGCCTAAGAGAGTGGGAGGAAAAAGCTAAACTCTCTCTTGCATGTGGGCAGAGGCCTATTACTAAGGGCATGTCTGCATGGGACATTGCCTGGCAAAACTATCCTGGTATAATTATACCAGTATAACTGATTTAAGAGTGTCCACTGCTATAACTGTGTGGATACTTGTATGTCCACACAGGGAGTTTATACCGGCATAACCACAGTGGTATAACAGTACAGTTCTGGCAGTTGATTTCCCTGTAACACAACTACCAGAGGAAAGGCAAACAGGTTGATGCAAGCTCACTTGCCATGTGAGTGAGTTTTCACGTTGAAAGTTCTCCTAGAAGTCTTCCTCTAGCCTTGCTGGTATGAAAGACCAGTGAGCTCTGGCATTTGGATCTGTAGCTTCCCACCAGTATCGGAATCTGCTGGATTTACGAACTTTCTGGTGGCAGCTGTCTTTGTGGTAATTCATCAGTATCCTTCTGTACAGCTTGTTCTATGTAGCCCCAATATTCAGATACAGATGTTTGGCTACCTAGTCTGCTCTATGATATGCTTTTAACTGCCCACCTAACTCTCAGGAGCAAGTGTGACCCTTCATTGCCACCCAGCTAAGACACAGCTGCTAAGTCTAGGAGAATCCACCCAAGAAATGGCCATTTCACAGAATGGGAAGAGCTTGCAGGGAAACCTAATAACATTATAAGGCTCTTAGTAAATAAGTAGACTGTGAGGGTACATGTCAGCCATCTCAATGCCCTTCCCTTCACTAGATGTTCTGAGCTTGACTAGCATTTCTGGCCATCTCCAGCTGATGAGGGGAAAAGGCCAAATGATTGCTGTAGAGTAGTTATGAAAGGAATGGACCATGGTGGGACAATCTTGCCATGGCTACGACAGTGCAGGGGTGAGGACAGTTAGCTCCTTCTTCAGACTCTGCTCCCTACCTCAGTGACAGCTCTTTGAGCCGCCAAGATACACACCATATAGTATATTAATATTTCCTCTTAAATAAAATTTTGACTTTACATCTTAAGTATCAGTAGCACAGAGTAGCTCATCTTGCAGAGGGGAGAGGGTTTGGTATCTGGAAGTCACACAGTTTGTGTGTGCTTAGTAGGTTTTAAGTATCTTATTCTACATTAGTCCTTCTCCTCTGTGAACTCTGCTCTGGTGCTGGAAATTAAACAGCGGTTAAACAACATGTCTTTCTAGAGTGCAATCTGGTAGGGTAGGTCCCCACCCTTCAGGCCTCGTGCTAAAAGAGGTTGCTTCAGATTGGTTTGACCTAGAAAATTAGCTTTTCACCTTCAAGTATGGAATTATTCCTCTCTCCCCATCCCCAAGCTCTTTTTGCTAACTCTCTCTAGTGTTCCCTTCTCAAGGGTAAAGACTTCTTATACAGTATGTTCTGCAACTGTGGGAGCAGGGAAGGGGACCGTACTCCGCAGGAGTAGAAACGGAATGAAATGAAAGATGCAGAACTATTGAACATTCCAAAGATTATTGCAGAATAAAAACAGCCTTGGCACATCAGGAATTCCAGAGAAAACAAAGAACATGGGGTGGGGGGGGCTTTTGCAAACAGGAGCCTTGTAGTACAATAACCAATCTGGAAAGTTTTTTCAGTGACTTCTTCCACTGCCATAACCCCCTTTCCTGCTTTAGGGCAATGGCCTCTTTAAATGACTGAGCGGAGTCTCCCTCCTATGTAATAGGAATGGCTATTCATAGCAAAGTATCCTAGGAGTCCCTCTAAGTTAAATCTTTTCCAGAGAGACTTTTTTTAAAAAAACCCAAACAAACAAAAACTTCCATCCCCAGAAGACCATTGGGAAGGTAACAAGGTGGCTTAAGTGTGGCTGGGTTCTCCAGCTGCTGAGACCTTCTGACCAATCCATGTTAGTATTTCCTTAAACACAGCAGTGCTGACCTCAGGCAGCTCTTTATGGAGAGCATGATAGGCCTCGTCATACACCTGCAATCAGAGAGAGAACACAGGTTCAGACAAAACCCCAAAGAACAAAGCAGCCCTTAGGTCCCATTCGCCAGTGCCCACAATCCTGACATGCCCTGCACACGTCTCGTCGGTCTTCCTGTATTTCTTAGATATGGTGAATTATGAATATGAAGGGATGCCACCAACTTGAGGTCTAGTCAGTTTCAGCAAGGGAGTTAACAGGAGTTCTCAGGTTTCACACCTGTCGTCTCCGCACAGGTCTGCGGTATTGCAATCTCAATTCCTTCTCCTGTAGTTCTTTCCATTCCCCTCCCCATGTGGGGGAGACTCACCAACAGGAGAATGTGCCATATGATTGCATGTTCAAAAATGGCCTCTGATTTTGGGTTCCTGATTTAAGACACCTTTCTACAGCAATGCTGAGCACGTGAAGCACTGACTGACTTCAGCTGGAGTTGGGAGAGCTCATCACCTTTGAAAAACCAGGCTCCAGGGCCCAGAGCCACTAAAGTATTTAGACACCTAAACTCGTTTGGTGCTTAAGTTTCTAGGTACAAGTTCCCTTTGTACTTCGGTTTTGGCCTCTGGGCATTTGCACTGCTGTCTCACTCTCATCCGGACACCTAGTTCCTGCCTGAGCCCTGGAGCAATTCATGAATTGTGGGGAAGGCAGATGTTTGGCCGTCTGAGTTGCATGCAGGACCTGACCCCGTAGGCGGCCTCTGAGCACTGGATCCTGAGTCTCCCACCTCCTAGGAGGCGACCTAACCACTGGACCTCAGAGTCATTTCCCTCACTTCCCTCTTTCTCTGACCCAATGATTGTTCCATTGTGGATAAATACTTAAACAGTCATTGGGCCAGAGAGAGACAGTTAGAATAACTCTATTGTCCAGTGTTAGGGCACCCATCTGAGAGAGGGGAGAGCCAGGCTCCTGTCCCCCTGCTCCAGTCACTCTCTTTGAGTGCCCCCTGCTGCTTCATACCCTCTGCTGCAAGTGGAGTTTAATAGTGCAGACTCTGGAGATGGTATTGATGTTATCAAACTTAGACCCGCCGTATCCAGGCAGAACATTCCTTTGCCTACTGCCCTCTAGTAAGGGAATCAAAGCCATGCAGACCCATTGTCACTCTTTTATTTTAATCCCTATACAGTGTGTATGCTGAGAAGCACAAGTCTCTTGCGAGGGCTGCTTTCATGCACTTAAGCAGTGGATACAACCGTTCCCTCAGGGTCTCACACCCGCCTTCCCAGTCCATGTATCCAGTGAGCCAACTGCAGCATATCAAGCTTTCAACCCAATGAGAGGCAGGAAATATTAATCACACCCTTGGCATGTAAACGCAATGGGAGGCGTTCCCACAACCCTGGGTGTAATTTCACTCTTTTGATGCCTGAGATAGATAGTTATTTTTCTGACAACAAAAGCTTTTGCTTGGTCTCCCCGTCTCCCTTTCAAGTTCATTCATGTGCTGACAATTGGTTAATCAGCTGTGTGCTCTCTCCAAATGAGCAGATGTGGAATGGCTTTTGTTCAGCTGCTTTTGGAACTTTCTTGCTATACCTTTATGCAGTGAGGTGGGCTTGGCGTGAAAGCAGCCTGACCGGTCGCAGAGTTTGGGGGCACTGGGTTACCTGGTCGGGGGCCCAATCCTGGAATGTGCCAAGTTCTTTCAACTCCTTTGGGTGTTCAGCACCTCCCAGAATCGGACACTTTCCCATGCTCTGCACTCTTGTCAACAGCACCTGACACCTGCTCTGACAGTGACTCAGTCAAATCCTTAAGCCTACACTGAGCAAAGCAGAGGTTGATATGCACAACATTACACCCTTCAAATACAAGAAGCAAGGTGACCTTAAGTGTTTTGTCCTGACTCTGCACGGTGTCCATCAGTAAGTAGGAACCTTTGATGTCGCAGAGCTTGTCGGGCAAACCATGTAGCACCAAGATTGGTAGAGTCAATTTAGGCAGGGATCGCTCTATTTTGGCAACGGCATTCATCAGCTGGATGACAAAGGAGATCTTCATGCCCCCATGGTAGACCAGGGGGTCTGAGGTGTAAGATTCAACCTATTGGAGGGGGGGGAAATCATTGTCAGCAACAGTCTGTTCCAAAAATACAAGGCAGAGCCCTTCATGTATGATGAGTCTGTTTCCGTCTATTGTTTAGGCTAACCATTTCCCACCCTCAGTGGGCTCCTGTGCCACTTCACCCTAGATCTGGGCAGTCAATTTATTTTTTGTCAAGGTCCAAATTTCTTGGTCAAGGTCCAGACTCCAGAGAAAATAATAATATAATAATAAATAAATAGATTTTGAGGTCCATTCAAAAGTGCCTGGTGGTCCAGATTTGGCCCGCAGTCTGCCTATTGACTACCCCTGCCCTAGAATGATAACCCCAGTTAGCAGCCAGGGGCCATCACCTCTTGTGCAACTGGAAACTGGGCTACTCCAAACTCCTCTCTTACACCACTGAAAAATGTTCATGAGCCAAAAACACTGGGGGCAGGCAAACAAGCAGCATCAGTCAATGGACTTTGCCCAGGGGAGCTCCTTTCTGCGCTTACTCATGCTCTGCCCTGGTCTCCTACCACTCAAAGGTGGCAGCCTTTTTCCCCCATAGGCAGTTTTTCATTCTGCTTTATTACAAAGCTGATATTGATATAAGCAATTCCTGAGTACCAGTAATATCTCTGGTGCTGAGTGGCCCTGCCATGAGTCACTTTACCTCTCTTTCCCTCAGTTTCCCCATCTGCAAAATGGGGATAAAGATGTTTACCTGTCTTGTAGGAGGGTTGAAGGTACTGATTAGCTCCTGCTTGTAAAGCACTACTAAGATGAGGAGCTCTGTGTTGGTGTTAAGTGTGTATGCGGAGATGGTGCTTGCAAAGATGATGGGTCTCGACAAGGCGTGCTGTCTTGAGCCCAATGAAGGCTGCTCTGCTTAAGCTGGAGCATTGCCTGTTGGGGCCTGTAGTATCCATGGGCCACCCCTCTGTATTAAAGACGAAGGTAACTTCAATCTGCACACTATGTGCTCACTATGTATGGGCCTTGAGCTCCTGATTGGGCAAAGTTTTTCTTAGTTTAAACTATGAGATAAAGTGCCAGTAGGCCAAAAAACCAACAAAAAAACCCCCAAACCCAAAAAAAACACATACCCCAGCATTTCACTTGCAAATTTTTATCCTTCTCTTGCAGGCTGGCTAAGAGCAGAGAGTCAGCATGAAAAATCTGGAGTGAGGAGAGTGCTGAAAACGAGGCACTGGATTAATCAGCACAGGGTCTGGTAGCTAGGAATAGGTAGTTACTGCATCAGGCATATCTACAGTAAATATTTGTATGCTGTATACAGAGAAACGAGCTTTGGCAGCCTACGCAGGCTTTACCAGCTCAATCTTTGCCAGCGAATTTTGATTATAGGTGGATCCCTGGCACAGCCGCTGATTCCTCTAAAGTCTGATGTTGTTTAAAAAAAAAATCATCATAATTTATTTGTAGGTTGGCTGAAGGAAGCCTAATTTTTCTTCTCTACGGCAGCGTTTCTCATGGTGGGTCCTGACCCCCCGGTGGGTCCTGACCCCCCAGTGGGTCGCAGGAAGGTTCTAGATGGGTTGCCACATCCAGGGCTGGATTAACCAATCACCGGGCCCTGGCCCAAAGCAAACATACACTTCTCCTAGCTCGGTGCGGAGGGAAGACCCCAATGGGGGGCGATGGTGTTCAAAGGCAAGCCTGCCCTGCTCTCACCCCACACCGATAGCTCCTGCCCTGCGGGGCTGGGCATGGCTCCCCACTCTGGTCATTGACACCTAGTAAATGAGGTTGCTACGCCACTCAGGTTTTGCACGGCTGCCCCTCCATGACGAAAGGGAAGCCGGGCCAAACTGGATGACACTGCAATTGTGTGTGCCAGGTTGCCACGCTCTCAGCAGGGAGCTGCACCCAGCCCTGTGGGGCAGGAACCGTCGCTGTGGGCTCTGTGTAGGGGCAGGCTTGCTTTTTTACACCCTTGGCCGCCTCTCCTTTCTGCACCAGGCCATGATTAGGGGGGTAATGCCAGGGTGAAGGTTGCCTATGTGTAATGATGGGTCCTACAAAAAGCAGTTGGTGGATTGCCTTAGTACGAGACCATTCAAAAATAACGCCCCCCTCTTAACCCCGCACAGCAGCCTCCTATGGTAACAGTTCATTGGACACCAAAGCACAATTAAATCTTTGGCAGCTGACGCGCCCCTCGTAAAGTCAGTAAATTACAAAGATAGTTATTCTAACCGATGAAGTGTTTTAAAATGTGCCCATTGCACCCTGTACTAATTCCAACAAGCACACAGGTTAGTCTAAACTCCCTCCTTACTGTGCTTACACAGACACCACATCTGAGCATTAGAAGGCTCAGAGATCGATTCTCTGCCCCAATCTGGTCTTTGTGACAGGCTCAGGTGGCACAAAGGGACTGGAAACCATCACCCCTGTTCTGTATACCGTCCATGTGGGGGACGGAGGGGGGGGCCCCCAGTGGATGTAGAGCCAGCCTCCCTCCCCACCACCTTTAGCACAAGAGATGCATTGGGGCAGGGATGGAATGGCTAGGATACACACTACAGCAATCCCTAGTTGGTGGGTGATCCTTAAAGGAGCATAGCCAGCAGGCACAAGTTAGAGTGGCCCCTAGGCTGCTCTATTTTTTGCCAGGGCTGGGCCAGAGAATCAGGGAGCTGTAATTTAGCTATCTGATGCCCCCTGCTTAGCTGGCCCAAGTGCAGGAGAGAATCTGCCATCAGTATCCAACTCAGGAGCATCTCCTCTACTCATTCGCTGACTGAGCCTAATTCCATAGATTATTTTAGCAGGGTGATTGCTTTTCCTTTCCTTCCCCTAGCTGAGATCTCACAAAATGAACAGTCTAAGGCTATGTCTACACCCAACTTTTGTCAGTAAAACTTTTGTCAAGTAGGGGTGTGAAAAAATACCTCCCAAGTTTTACTGATGAAAAGCACTGGAATGGACAGTGCTTTGTTGGTGGGAGACCCTCTCCTGCTTACAAAGCTACTACCACTCATTGGAGGGTGGTTTTATTTTGCTGGCAGGAGAGCAGCTACATGGGAGACCTTACAGCGGCACAGCTGCAACAGCACAGTAAGGTACACGGTGCAGACTTAGCCTAAGAAGAACCCTCATCCTCTGCTGTGCTGATGGTCTGGAGAGTGATTACAGATTTGCCCAGAGAGAGAAGTCTTACCCGGAGCCCTGAAGCTCACCAAACTTGGGCTCTGGTTGACCATTGCAAGGAGCAGGCTTCACAGGAATGGTCCTGCCACTGAGACATCCATGCTGCAGGGCTTGGAGAGCTCAGCCCCAGGAACTGACAAGAGTGACCCACATTACAACTGTCCTGATGGATTATAGGAAACGAGAGCAAATCTGTCAGACTGCTGGGTCCCTGCCCATTTACTTGGGAATGTTGTCCCTGGTTGGCGCAGAGGTGAGCCTCTGATTGGACTAATTAACAGCGCCAGCGTCCATGTGACTTCACTGGTAGTATGGGATCCTCTCCCTGACAGTGCTGGTGCAGTTTGGCTTCTCCTCTGGAATCACTTAAACTTCTTTCAAACAGCATACTCTGCTGGAGACAGCAAAGGGTCTCTTTTAGAGCCCCCCACAGGACTAACCTTTTAATTCGGCTCCTGCTATTATGGCCATGGATCCTGCAAGACCCATAGGATTCTAGTCCTGCTGCAGGGCTCTACACTTGTCCTGCGCAGGTCCATAATCCCCATGACTGGAAACTCAAGTTATGAATGTGTTGGAGTGGACCCCAAAGTGAGGGGCAGTTACTAGAGGAGAGACAAATGCAGTATAGCTCCCCTCATCCTGATGACACACCCACCCTGAGGGTCTGAGACCTAGCCCCTGGGAAATGCTTGGAAGAGCCCACTGTGGAGGTGAAATGCTGGCTGAGACTGAGCTGTCAAGGCCTGATCTGAGGAGGCGGTAAGCATCCTCGACTCCCAGAGAAGTCAATAGGAGCTGAGCATGCTGAGCACCTCCCAACATCTGGCCCTCAGTCAGTATCCACATAGACTCTTCAGTGCCTGGAAGTCTTCTCTAGAACAGCTCTGAGGTTGCACCGTGGCTGCTGTAGGTACCTCCAACCTCCTCTGCATTCCCTACAGGCAGGCAGCCTTTTTCAGTGGGACCCTACTCTCGTGAGATACAACCCTGCTCGTTTTAAATATCTGTCCTGTTCCGTAAACTGTCTCAATCCCAAGAGGCTGCCTTTCATGAGAATGAACCGCCCTTCCTGTGAACCGGCTCATGGAAAAAGTTACACTTTGGCTTCTGGAACACCCAGTTCATCTAATTTTGTCAACTCTCACTTTAGCAGCTGGTAACCTGACATTTTCACCCAAACCCATTAACTTTTCCTCTGCAATTTAAACAAAAGCACAGGGTTCCTCTGGCTACTTAGCAACTGGCTTCAGCCTAATCTGGGAGTTATTTGCTGGGAGTTGTGTCACAGCACTGCACTAAGGCAACACAGCTTTGAGGGGTTTTTGTTTTTTTACTGAAAGCAACAGATGAAGGATTCCAGGAAAAAAATCAAGAGGGGTGGGTGGCTGGATTGACAGACGTTGCCTTCTCATGGAGTAAAATAATGTAGATTAATTCATATGAGCTGCCCCCTTCCCCGCCCCCGTGTAGTGCCATAAATGCCAAGAGATGGCCTAATGGGTTTCTTTCTTCTTTTTCTCCCCCCCCCCCCAAAAAAAAACAACAAAGAATTTTTAGCTACTGAACTGCAGACAAATCTTTTGTGTAGATGGGGGTGGGGGGATCTTTGAGAATGATCGACACTGTGAGAAGGATAAAAACAGCGAATGGAACAACAGACCTTCTGAGAAAGTTAATGATCTGTGCATGGGGCAAACACATGGCACAGGGCATGTCTTGGTGAAAGGAGGAGGAAAAAGGGAGAAGGTTCTCTCTTGAGCCTTCAAGAGAAGGTAGAGAAAAGAGGAAACCCTTCCACTGTGCAGCAGGGCAGCTCGTAATGGGGCAGGAGATGAGGATTAAAGAAATGTTCTCTAGAACGCTGGGGAAGCTGAGGATTAGTTGTAGGGAGGGATAAGAGAAACTGGGGTCACCTTCCAGGCTCTGCATCACTCTGTCCACCTCAATCTCTGCTCTTGTTTCTTAACACTCCCCGCTTGCCCACCTTCGCTCTGCCAGCGAATCCTGTCTCATCTCTTCCTTTGTGCCTTCTCCTACTCTCATGTCTGCACTCTCTGTCTGTTTTGGAAACCCTGGGTCACCTCTGCTTCCTTCCTCTGTTTCCTGTTCTTCCTTCATTCTTAGTTACAGCTAGCGGGGCCCCACTTTCCAGGATCGATACCTTGGACAGTGTCTGCATGGTGGGTCTGGTCTAAATACTTGGATCCGGTTCAGTCCATTACTCCTTTCCGCCCTGGCTCGGGCTGGGGTCTGTGGGATCCATCACAGCTGCCAACTATTTTTTTTTAAGAGTCTCTTTAAGACAGAACCATCCACCAGGTCTCCTGGCGCATTTGGTGTCGCCCACCTGTTTAGACTGTCAGCTCTGCTTCTGGGCAGGGGCTGCATCTTTCCGTTCCCTCTTGCACAGCACTAAGCATGCTGCCAGGCAGTTATGGCCTGTTCCAACAAGCACTGAAGTGGGGATCTTTCCACTGATTTCAATGGGAGCTCAATCAGGCCTTTAACAAATACTGATGAGGACGTTAGATTCTGGGTTACCTCTCACTCCACTTGTTTCCTTGTACTTGATAAGGAACTAGATCTACCAAATGTCTCCACTCCACCATGTACATTTCAATCCCTACATCAGAAGGCCAAGCCTCCTGTGAAGACGAACAAGTGAGGGAATTCTTGGAGGACTGCCCAAAGATATTTATAGAAAACAGAAAGTTGGTCTGACGGATGATTAAATTCAACATGTAATTAATGGATGTTTCCAGCACAGTGTGTGCTCAGAAGCTGCAAGGCTTGAGTCTAGGGCTTCATCTACACTGCCCTGCAGTTTGGACTTCAGGAATGTCCATAGTAGTGCCCACTAATGTGCTGGGAAATAGGGTGTTCGCCTTGTTGTGAAAGCAACGGTTTTGTAGACAAGTCCTAATCAGGCGGACTGATGATCTGATCCAGTGCTGCAGAGGCAGGATATTGGACAAAATGGGCCAATGATCTAATCCAGTAATTAGATGGACCAATCTCATATGATAGCTCTTACCTCCCAATGATGGACACAGCGCAGAACAGGAAGTGGCAACAGGAGAAGCTAAAACTAAGAGGACGAGCATGAAGCTAGAGATGCCTTTGCCAACCCCAGCAGTGAGCCTCACAGTGAAGGCCAACATGAGTAAGTAGCAGGAAGAAAGAAAACACAATTATTCTTATGGTGGACTGTACCCTCAGGGTTACCATGGACACTTCTGAATGTCACCCTTGCAGCCGCCACTGAAATACTTAGGTAAAAGTGTGGGAGACCGTAAATAAATTTCTGAAGCTGGTCTGTCCTTAGAGTTCACACCCTGTAACAATATTTAGCATGTTCTTAGCACCTTCCATCTGAGGACATACCCCTTCAAGGTAGGTATTTTTACAACCATTTAACAGATGGATAAACTTTGGCACAGTGAGTTTAAGTGGTCACATAACAAGTCAGTGGCAGAACCAGGCAGGGAAACCCAGGAGGCCCTGCTGTAACAGCTATGGCACGGTCTCCTAATATATAGGCTGTGGCTTTGATAGACCTTTTACTTTATAAACCTGGTATCACTTATCCTTTAGAACCCAGGAATATAATTCTTCCTTCATACGATTTTATTGTACCTTTTCTCAATTCTTTGTGTAAGCAACAACAGAGTAATTGGTAACACCTTCCGTATGATGGAACACAAGCGAGTAGGATGGTGTTCCTATAACAATGGAAACTGACCGTATTTATTTATCTGTGTATGTTTTGTACATCTTTTGTTATGATAAGGCTTACCAAAATATCTGAGGACATATACATTACAAAGTGGATGTATACGAATGCTTTCTATGTTGGTTTTTACACTGAGTCCAGTATCATGGAATCGCAGTATTTGCCCTGTCTAATTCTCTCTTCTCTAGCTGAAAAATCTCAAAGGGCTTTTCAATTTTGATGTTTTTAACCCAGTGAAGTATAAGCCCCTTTTACAGACAAGGAAACTGAGGCACAGAAAGAAGAAGTCACTTGCCCAGAAAATCTGTGTCAGAGCCAGGTACAGAACCTACGCATCCATGTGGTTTATCCACAAGACCAGTCTTCCTTCCAATTTACCTACAGGGCAATTTGGCAAGTTGAATGTGCAAACAAAAGTTAAGTGTATTGTACTTCTCTGTGTATCAACAGCCTGCTTGCTCCTTATCTAGTCAGCCTGCATTCTGATGTCAGCATGGACTGGGACCCGCCTAACCGCCCACAGCCGGGGAATTCATTGGCATCTATTTAAAATAAGAATCCAGCTTATCTAGCCAGTCAGAGACACTGAAAAATTACAGCACATCTTGGGGGCATGTGGGCTGCCACAGAAGTAAGCATTCACTACACTTACAAAGCGCCCCTGCTTTTTAGAGACCCTTGGGTGCTATCTTCTGTCATTCCAGTTGATCTTAGAAATGAACTAAAATCCTGATTTGTGATCCCTTCCCAGACACAGCTGTTTCATTCAATTTTTTTTTTCTCCCCAGCACTGTAAATACAAACCTAAGCCTCCATGTGGCTGTTTTCTACTGAAAGGAGTGGGAGCCTTTTTAGTGGTGCTGCTGCAGCAGCAGCTGACAAGACATCTGGTTTTACCAGTACTGCCGAACCAGGCTGTCTGTAAGCAGGAGGAGGGGTGTTGCTTTTCCACACAGCAGCCTTGTCCCACAAGCCTTGTCTAGACTGGCAAAAATGGGGGCCTACAATTCACAATGGTAGAAGCTCTAATTAGTTGCATCGGATGCATCTAATGTATCCGAGGAAGTGAGCTGTAGCTCATGAAAGCTTATGCTCAAATAAATTGGTTAGTCTCTAAGGTGCCACAAATCCTCCTTTTCTTTTTGCGAATACAGACTAACACGGCTGCTAGTCTGAAACCTGTAGTTAGTTACAGTGGTTAAATGATGGGGCAGGGACCATCTTTGTACAGCACCTAGCACCATGGGGTCCTGCTCTATGACAGGAGTTCCTAGCCCCTATCTCAGTACAATACATATAATAGTAAGCGTAGATGAGACTCAAGCGTCTTTGCTACTGTATTTATGTGAAAAGCAGATTAAGAGAAACGTGGTCCTCAAAGTATCTGAGCCCTGTCTAAACTACAGCTTCTATCACTGCTGCCCCAGTGGAGCTGCACTTGGTGGTGAATTATGGGTCCCATTTTGTTGTTGTTGTTGCCAGTGTGACCATCACACAGCCCAGATCTTAGATCTCCTGCCCATAACTGGACATGGATGCAGAGTGCACTGAACTAGTGACTGAATGGTTCCAGACTGGACTAGTCAGCTTATGAGCCAAATTTCCTGTCGATGTAAATGGGCACAGATATTGGCTGTAAAGGCATTTCACCCCTTTCCACTAGCAGAGAATTTGGCTCAAGATGTTCAGCCCCATTACAGAGGGCCAGCAGTGGGGCTATGTACCACTGTTCCAATGACTTAAAAAATGATATTAACATCCTCACCTCCTTTTTGTTCCGGGAAACCACATTTGGGTCTATAGCTCCCAGCGTCAGGTTTGGTAGAACAAAGTTGAGCACTTTAGCTGCAAAAACCTGTGGGATAGGAATGAAATAAATTAACTGGGCAGCAAGGAGAAGAAATACGTAAGCCAAAGCCTCTGCTGGCATAAATTGGCATAGCACCACTGAAGTCAACAGAGTGTCCCCATTTGACACCAGCTAGGGATCTGGCCCTATATTACCAAACTGTCACGAAACCAAAGAATTTGGATATCCACTGGCATCAATTACAAGAATGGGCACAATACTATGAAATATTCACAACCGCCCTGACATTACACTCTGCATTTCTTCCCCTTGCAGATGAGAGATCAAGTCAATGTGGGAAAGGCCTGGCTTAAGCAGCCTGCTAAGGGTCATTGTTTTATGGAGCTGGCAGCATCGTTGTTGCTGCTGCCCCTTCCTACCATCACTCAGTTCTGATCTCAGGCTGCAGCACTTAAGTGATATTTTGTGCAATTTACAGTACTTGCTGAGGCTGGACTCTCTTTGCTAAGCACATTCTCCAGGGAGTCTGCAAATAAACAACAGTAAAATGTGTCTGCATTGACTAAGGAAATCTATTGCTTGCTTGTCTCCTGGGAATCAAACACAAAAGCATTCAGCAGCCTGAGCGTGAAAGCACTAGCATGAGAAAGAACATTCTTTATTTCAGTAACATTCCCCAATCCCTCCAATGCAAGATTCTTCTCTGATAACTGTCTTCTAATTCAGTGGTCACCGCTTAGAAAAGATGACAATGTGTAATTGGCCTTTGTACTGTCCTACTGCATCCACAGTTACTACCTGCAAGATTAATTTGTAATCTGCATACTCCGCTTGTGTTTGAAAGCACAGACTGTAAACCATTACATAGGATTATCTGATGCTCTTGTATCAAAGATACTATCCAAAGGAAAATTACCAGGATGAAATTAGAGTTCTCCGAGAGTAGCAAGGAGTGAAGGCTCATAGTAAATGTCAAGGAAACCCCATTCCTAGGGGGATATGTAAAATCATGTAACTTTCACCTTGTACGCTGACACCCCATTGGTACTCCAACCCCATGAGCCAAATTCATTTCCACTGAGGTCAATGAAGTTGCACCAGGAATGAATTTGTCACCATGGGTATAAACACAAGCTTATAACTTCAGGTAAGATTCCTATCTAGGGATGGAGCAAATTTTCTCTGGCCTTCTTTAATTTAAGACACACTGTTGTTATCTGCACGCTCTCTCTCTCTCTCTCTCTCTCCGTGTGTGTGTGTCCTTATTTATACCCTCATGGTGGGAGTCTTGCAAAGAGAGAGTAAATCTGAATTTTCCCACATGCGAGCACATACTACTCTAATGAGGCTCACTTTTTGTTGTCGTGGCTCCACACACCTGTGGTTACCTAACCCTTAGAACATAAGAACGGCCACACTGGGTCAGACCAAAGGTCCATCTAGCTCAGTATCCTGTCTTCTGACAGTGGCCAATGCCAAGTGCCCCAGAGGGAATGAACAGAACCGGTAATCACCAAGTGATCCATCCCCTGTCGCCCATTCCCAGCTTCTGGCAAACAGAGGCTAGGGACATCATGCTTGTCCATCCTGGCTAATAGCCATTGATGGACCTATCCTCCATGAATGTATCTAGTTCTTCTTTGAACCGTGTTATAGTCTTGGTCTTCACAACATCCTCTGGCAAGGAGTTCCACAGGTTGACTGTGCGTTTTGTGTGAAAAAATACTTCCTTTTGTTTGTTTTAAACCTGCTGCCTATTAATTTCATTTGGTGGCCCCTAGATCTTGTGTTATGAGAAGGAGTAAATAGCACTTCCTTATTTACTTTCTCCACACCAGTCATGATTTTATAGACCTCTGTCATATCCCCCCTTAGTCGTCTCCCTTCCAAGCTGAAAAGTCCCAGTTTTATTAATCTCTCCTCATACGGCAGCCGTTCCATACCCCTAATAATTTTTGTTGCCCTTTTCTGAACTTTTTCCAATTCCAATATATCTTTTTTGAGACAGGGCAACCACATCTGCAAGATGTGGGCATACCATGGATTTATATAGAAGCAATGTGATATTTTCTGTCTTATTATCTATCCCTTTCTTAATGATTCCCAACATTCTGTTTGCTTTTTTGACTGCTGCTGCACATTGAGTGGATGTTTTCAGAGAACTATCCACAATGACTCCAAGATCTCTTTCTTGAGTGGTAACAGCTAATTTAGACCCCATCATTTTATATGTATAGTTGGGATTATGTTTTCCAATGTGCATTACTTTGCATTTATCAACATTGAATTTCATCTGCCATTTTGTTGCCCAGTCACCCAGTTTTGAGATCCTTTGTAGCTCTTTGCAGTCTGCCTGGGACTTCACTATCTTGAGTAGTTTTGTATCATCTGCAAATCCCCTTTTTCCAGATCATTTATGAATATGTTAAATAGGACTGGGCCCAGTACAGACCCCTGGGGCATACCACCATTTACCTTTCTCCATTCTGAAAACTGACCATTTATTCCTACCCTTTGTTTCCTATCTTTTAACCAGTTACCAATCCATGAGAGAACCTTCCCTCTGGTCCCATGACTGCTTACTTTGCTTTAGAGCCTTTGGTGAGGGACCTTGTCAAAGGATTTCTGAAAATCTAAATACACTATATCCACGGGATCCCCCTTGTCCACATGCTTGTTGACCCACTCAAAGAATTCTAGTAGATTGGTGAGGCATGATTTCCCTTTACAAAAACCATGTTCAACCAGTTTGCCTGGTACTGAAGTCAGGCTTACCGGCCTGTAATTGCCGGGGTCACCTCTGGAGCCCTTTTTAAAAATTGGTGTCACATTAGCTATCCTCCAGTCATTTGGTACAGAAGATGATATACATGATAGGTTACAGACTACAGTTAGTAGTCCTGCAATTTCACATTTGAGTTCCTTCAGAACTCTTGGGTGAATACCATCTGGTTCTGATGACTTATTACTGTGTAGTTTATCAATTTGTTCCAAAACCTCCTCTAATGACACCTCAATCTGGGACAGTTCCTCAGATTTGTCACCTAAGAAGAATGACTTAGGTTTGAGAATCTCCCTCACATCCTCAACCGTGAAGACCAATGCAAAGAATTCATTTAGTTTCTCTGCAATGGCCTTATCATCCTTGAGTGCTCCTTTAGCATCTCGATCGTCCGATGGCCCCACTCGTTGTTTAGCAGGCTTCCTGCTTCTGATTTACTTAAAAATGTTTTTGCTATTACTTTTTGAGTCTTTGGTTAGCTGTTCTTCAAATTATTTTTTGGCCTTCCTAATTATATTTTTACACTTCATTTGCCAGAGTTTATGCTCCTTTCTATTTTCCTCACTAGGATTTAATTTCCACGTTTTAAAGAATGCTTTTTTGCCTCTCACTGCTTCTTTTACTTTGTTGTTTAGCCATGGTGGCTCTTTTTTGGTTCTCTTACTATGTTTTTTAATTTGAGGTATACATTTAAGTTGAGCCTCTCTTATGGTGTCTTTAAAAAGTTTCCATGAAACTTGCAGGGATTTTACTTTTGGTGCTATGACCTTTTAATTTCTGTTCAACTAACTTCCTCATTTTTTGTAGTTCCCCTTTCTGAAATTAAATGCTGTGGTGTTGGGCCGCTGTTGTGTTTTTCCTCACCACAGGGATGTTAAATTTTATTATATTATGGTTACTATTACCAAGTGGTCCAGCTATATTCACCTCTTGGACCTGATCCTGTGCTCCACTTAGGACTAAAACAAGAATCGCCTCTCCTCTTGTGGGTTCCAGGACTAGATGCTTCAAGAGACAGTCATTTAAGGTGTCAAGAAACTTTATATCTGCATCCCGTCTTGAAGTTGGCACATGCTTTGGACGTGTTCTCAAAGCTTTCACTCATTTCTCACCAAGTTGAGTCAATAGCAACAAACCAGTACCGAAACAGAGGGCCTGGTTCTGATCTCCCATACCTCCCAGTTTTACACAGGTGCAGTTCACTGACTTCAGTGGAGTTACTCCTCATTTATAACTGCATGAGAGAAGAATCAGGCTGTGTGTGTATGTATGTTTGTGCATGCACACACACCCATCCTCTGTGTGTGCATATATACAAATATTACTTATGCACAGATATAACTAATCTTATGGTCAAAATGACTGACTGCCAGTGATAAGGAGGTATTTGGACACCGTACTCATAAGGAATTTCAGAGATATGTGAAAAGCCACATTACCCTTGTAAATTTAGTGTAGGGGACATCAGTCAATACCGCTTATAGCTCAATGATTCTAAGAGCCAAGGTCACTGCCACTGGAAAAATAATCTTTCATGTTATAAACCAGAGCTTCCAGGGTCAAAAGGTTCCAATGTGGCTTCATTGATTTTGTGAGGGCCATGGTGATGGTCTATAACACAATGGGCTTTTAATTAAAAATACTGTGTTGTTAAACACCCTAGCTACATTTGATAGCTGAAGATTTTATCTCCTAACCGGTTTGAAGCAGCAGCTGATGCAATATGGATTATTTAGGGAGTGGTTGGCAGGCCAGACTCAATAAAACGGAGAAGACCGTAATCAGGCAGTTTTGGTCTGGGGCAAAAGAGAAGTGAACAGTACATCCATTCAGGTTTGGCAAACCATTCAATCTTATCCTTGTCCACCCCAGTCTGTAAGAGAGAAATCCCAGATTGAGATGGAAAAACGTCTGAGGGCTTGCTACACACCAGTCTGTATGGGTTTTTAACTAGAAGTGTGATTTTAAAACTGATTTTGTTAACCTGGTGCAAAAGGCTTTGTGGGAATGCCTAAACCAATATATACTGGTCTTATATTGAGCCATCTTAAATTGATTAGGAACAGGTTTAAGCTAAACTGAAATAAACCACTCTTAAACCAAAATAAGAGTGTCTACACAGGGTTTTACCCCAGTTCAACTAAATCATTTTAAAAACAGATTTAGTTGAAGTTTAGCAAACCAGTGCAATTTTAGTGTGTGAAAATAAGACCTGAGTGATCAGAGAAGTTGTAACAAGAAGTTTATTGGGACCAGCTGACATCCAGCCACAAAGAAAAGTAAATGGACCTGGTCAGTAAAGGCCAAGTGGAATGGAGAATGGTAACAAAGGTCAGACAAATTAGAGATTGGAAAAATCTCATTGGGTCCCATCTAATCCTCTCCTGGGAGGCCAGTGCAGGATTGTTTCTTACAGAACATTTTTTAGGGATTTATTCCATCTAGTTGTAAATGTTTTAAGCAATGCAACCTTTACCAGTTCCCTTCAGACACAAACAGATTCCAGGGCTTACTAGGGCCATGCTTTCTATTATTCATCTTATGTTTTTCTTTTCCTACTTCTATACGATTCCCCCTGGTTCCATCTCCTCGTGCCACCAGAAATAATCCCTTGCCTTCTTGCTATTTACATCCTGCACATAATTGACAACACAGGGCCAATTTCTGGCTGCTCTTACTTAGGTGAGCAAGAAGGGAGGAAAGTGCATTTGTGCAATGAGTAGCCGGGTGCTTTCATTCTCTGTGGGAGGGAGTCACAGGGCACGGGGAGAACACAGGCTGCATTTTTAAAATGCATGGTGGCTGCCACTCCTGCATATGCTCCCCCATGTACCCCTTGAGCTGGTCTGCCTGACTCTGTCCTCCACAGCCAGAATGCCTCCAGGTGCTACCCCAGGTGCAGTACTGTTCTGTACACCTCTTCTAACATGCCTGTGGCTGGTTAAGCTCTGTTCTATGGCAGCAACGACTGCGGAATCTGGGCCTCTCTTATGTTCCGTCTGATCATCATTTACCCAGGCCACGCCAAACTCTTCTTGCCACAAGAGGATGAGCGTGATGGCCCTTGCTCCATCAGGTTCGGGCATGACAAGTAAAACAACAGCTCAAGGGGGCTATACGCACCACTGTTAAAGCTACTGACTTTCAGCCCTTCCTGAGGAGAAGAGCAGACAAATTACCTGATTGTTTTTCTTTGTTTCCATCTAGAGCATTAGAGCCTTACTGTGCAAGGTGCTGTGTGCCCTATGGGGAGCCCTCCTTTCTCACTGACTTCATTGGGTGCTGAGGGTACACAGTGCCTTGCAGGTTTGGGCCTCCAGTCATTTGCCTCTGCATGCTCTGTTCTCATCACAGACTCTTCTCCCGCTCCAGCGCAGGAAGAATTTAATCATCTAGATTTTTTAATCCCTCTTCCCTTTTCTGATTTGACTAATAAAAAAAAAAAAAAACCAGAGGCCACAGTAAATTCTCCTTTTTGAATAAACAGCATTTGCTTAGAAACAGGGGCTGATGGAGGAAGAAAGTGATGGCCGGATCCCATGTGATGCAGAGAATGGGGATCTAGGTAGGACACCTGCAGTTAGAGACAGGATTTCTTTCATAGTTGCTTCTTTAAAATGATCTGATCACAAGAAGAACAATGTGGTCCCTCTCTTTCCTGTTGTGTGTGTGTGTGTGTGTTTTTTACATCCATTGCTATTACCTTGATAGGCGTCGCTACCTCTGGGCTTGCCACAACTAAAGGAGAAATTAACACCAGGCCTGAAAATTCATGTGGTCTCTCGCAGGCAGTTAAGATGGAGATGGCTCCTCCCTGCAATACAAAAGTGAAAGGCAGCCTGAGCACAAATACAGATGATCATTCTTTACTTTTTGTACAGCATGGTCGTGTGCTGGGCACTTTACTGGCAGGTACAAAACAAAGTTCTCTGCTCCAGGGAGCTGGCTAGATGCTTTGTGCAAGCAAAAGATGGAGTAACTAGAAGCAAAGGGATAGATTTGTTGCGGGGTTTTTTTGGGGTGGGATGGCTGGCTTTTGGAGGGTGGAGTAGGATTTTGTGATCTAGGCTTCAGTACTGCAAACCCTTATGCACGTGCTTAACTATATGCACATGAGCAGTCCCATGAATTTAACTGGATTATTCATGTGCATAAAGTGTTTGCAGGTTCAGGGCTTGAACAAGCCTCTGTTGGGAGGACTAAAAATATAAATTTCCCGTGAGACCTGAAGGAGGAGAAGGTGGGGACTTGGATCAGAGAAGTGGACGCATGACAGAAAGCATGGAGATGAGCAGGAATGGGACACAACGGTAGTGGAAAAGCAGGCAGTAGTTTGTACCCAGTATTTCCGAGTTATACTGATATCTATGGGTAACAAAGTATTGTCACCTGGGAATGGAAACCATAAAAGTTTGGATAATTACCATAGGTCCAAAATTATCCTCTGGCAAATGTCTCTTTCTTCATCATCCCCCCCCCCCTCCCCCCGAGCAAACAGTTCACAGAACTCTACAATCAGCAACCTACTCATGGGCGGCAAGTTAAACAGAGGCACATTCCCATGTAGTTTCAAGTCAAGTGCTGGCAGAAACTGTGTGAGAATTGTAGGAATTGGGGTGCTTGGCTCGCTTGCTCAGTAAAGATCACAGAGGATTAGTTGTGAAGGAAAATGCTTGGCGAACTTGCATGCTGCTGAAGAACCACTGGCTTGTTTAAATGGAGCAGCAGCAAAAAGAATCTCAATGACCTTATTTGGCTTGGTACTTGGAAATTAGCTTCTTGTTACACAGGCTTAGAGTACAGTGAACTCTTAAAAGCATGCCATGCGCTTTAGATCAGAATTCTTGTTTATCGGAACATGGGGTTAAATCCTGAAGTGCTTATTCATATTTTGTACGCAGGGACAATGACTGTGACACCAATAGGAATATTGCCTAACTGAATCCACGGGATTTGGCCTGTGCTGTCAGAATCACACTTAAAATCTGCTCACAAAACCAATCCTCCTTTTAGTTTTTCATCCCTAATCCCTGAAACACTGTCCAGTACAGTTGTGTAATTGAATGAGACTACAGTGTGTCGCCATATTTTATTCCCAATCTACTCACAAGGCCAGAGTGTATAACCTCCTGGTTACCAGTTCAAATACAAGCCTGGTTGTTGGTGAATGAAAGAAGTTACCATCTGCCAGTTGTTCAGTGCCCCAACTCAGTCTGGTTCCTAGTGGGTTGGTAGGGATGCGCATCACTAATTAGCCCATTGTTGCAAATGGCACTAGCATCCTGATCTCAGCAGAAAGGCCAAGGACTGAATGGGTCACAGAGACTGAAGTCCCCGCTAGGGGTGAGGCAGTGGAGGGGAAGCTTTTACAGTAGAACCTCAGTGTTACGAACACCTCGGGAACAGAGGTAGTTCATAACTCTGAAATATTTGTAACGCTGAACAAAATGTTTGGGTTGTTTTTTCAAAAGTTTACAACTAAACATTGACTTAATACAGCTTTGAAACTTTACTCTGCGGAAGAAAAATGCTGCTTTTAACCCTCTTAATTTAAATGAAACGAGCACAGAAACAAACTTTCCCTTTATTTTTAAAATCATTTACGTTTAACACAGTTGTGTACTTGGCTTTTTTTGTCTCCGCTGCAGCCTGATTGCATATTTCTGGTTCCAAATGAGGTGTGTCGATGACCGGTAATTTCGTAACTCTGGTTTTCGTAACTCTGAGGTTCTACTGTTTGGTGGCTGGTGGCTGAACTTTGTGACTTTGTCCTTACCCATAACTATTTCACATTTGGGGACAATGTATACCTTCAGATCAGCGGCACTGCTATGGGTACCCGCATGGCCCCACAGTATGCCAACATTTTTATGGCTGATTTAGAACAACGCTTCCTCAGCTCTCGTCCCCTAAAGCCCCTACTCTACTTGCGCTATATTGATGACATCTTCATCATCTGGACCCATGGAAAAGAAGCCCTTGAGGAATTCCACCATGATTTCAACAATTTCCATCCCACCACCAACCTCAGCCTGGTCCAGTCCACACAAGAGATCCACTTCCTGGACACTACAGTGCTAATAAACAATGGCCACATAAACACCACCCTATACCGGAAACCTACTGACCGCTATTCCTACCTGCATGCCTCCAGCTTTCACCCTGACCACACCACACGATCCATCGTCTACAGCCAAGCTCTGCGATACAACCGCATTTGCTCCAACCCCTCAGACAGAGACAAACACCTACAAGATCTCTGTCAAGCTTTCTTACAACTACAATACCCACCTGCAGAAGTAAAGAAACAGATTGATAGAGCCAGAAGAGTTCCCAGAAGTTACCTACTACAGGACAGGCCTAACAAAGAAAATAACAGAACGCCACTAGCGGTCACCTTCAGCCCCCAACTAAAACCCCTCCAACGCATTATTAAGGATCTACAACCTATCCTAAAGGATGACCCAACACTCTCACAAGTCTTGGGAGACAGGCCAGTCCTTGCCTACAGACAGCCCCGGAACCTGAAGCAAATACTCACCAACAACCACATACCACACAACAGAACCACTAACCCAGGAACTTATCCTTGCAACAAAGCCCGTTGCCAATTGTGCCCACATATCTATTCAGGGGACACCATCACAGGGCCTAATAACATCAGCCACACTATCAGAGGCTTGTTCACCTGCACATCCACCAATGTGATATATGCCATCATGTGCCAGCAATGCCCCTCTGCCATGTACATTGGTCAAACTGGACAGTCTCTACGTAAAAGAATAAATGGACACAAATCAGATGTCAAGAATTATAACATTCATAAACCAATCGGAGAACACTTCAATCTCTCTGGTCACGCAATCACAGACATGAAGGTCGCTATCTTAAAACAAAAAAACTTCAAATCCAGACTCCAGCGAGAAACTGCTGAATTGGAATTCATTTGCAAATTGGATACTATTAATTTAGGCTTAAATAGAGACTGGGAGTGGCTAAGTCATTATGCAAGGTAGCCTGCTTCCTCTTGTTTTTTCCTACCCCCCCCCCCCAGATGTTCTGGTTTAACTTGGATTTAAACTTGGAGAGTGGTCAGTTTAGATGAGCTATTACCAGCAGGAGAGTGAGTTTGTGTGTGTATGGGGGTGGGGGGGATGTGAGAGAACCTGAATCTATGCAGGAAATAGCCCGACTTGATTATGTAAAGAGTTGTCACTTTGGATGGGCTAGCACCAGCAGGAGAGTGAATTTGTGTGGGGGGGTGGAGGGTGAGAAAACCTGGATTTGTGCTGGAAATGGCCCACCTGTTGATCACTTTAGATAAGCTATTACCAGCAGGACAGTGGGGTGGGAGGAGGTATTGTTTCATATTCTCTGTGTGTATATAAAGTCTGCTGCAGTTTCCATGGTATGCATCTGATGAAGTGAGCTGTAGCTCATGAAAGCTCATGCTCAAATAAATTGGTTAGTCTCTAAGGTGCCACAAGTACTCCTTTTCTTTTTGCGAATACAGACTAACACGGCTGTTCCTCTGAAACCTGTTTGTTACTTTGCATTTCTTATAGTAGGTTGTGTGATTCCCATCCCCCAGAATGGGATCCATAATGCTGTGGCAGATGTAATGATGACTATTAAGGTGTACGGTGTAGCGTGCTTACCATGGAATGCCCCAGAATGAAAACGGGGAGGTCTGGGTGATCCTTCTTCATGAGGTCAATGTGCTGCAAGCTGTCTCTGATGAAAACATGGAAATCTGACACGACCATGCGGTCACCTTCACTCTGCCCATGGCCAACTGTAAGGGGGGAAAGGAAAACATTGCTTCTACATCACACAGAACAATATTAACCTTTTACATGGCACCTAGATAGTCCAGATATGGGTGCATCAGAAATGCAATAGACCAGTAAGTAGGTCAGCAATGTTCTAGTTCCCATATACACTGCTTATTGCATAAATCGGGTCCCACCCAGCTTCCTTCCCCAATACCTCATAATGGATAACTTCAGTGTCCTGTAGAAATACGCAGTACAATACACAGGACAGCAAAGCAAGCTTGTGGCTGCCTAGGTCTTGTCTAAGAGGATTGTTAATTTTTCACATACGTATTGGCTCCCCATCATTAGAGACAGGCCTGACTAACAGAGTTCAGATCTAGTCTCTGACTACTCTCAAGTTCAGGGACTGTTCCGTTCTGGGGGTTTGGATTGGCCTATTATAGAGACAGAAGGCAGATCCCAAGTTCAGAGTTTGATCCTGATCCAAAGTTCCCCAGAATTTGTGGACGCTAAGATGCAGGCACTCAGATGCCATGTTGAGGGGTGCGGTGTATATATACATAGAGAGACAGATAATTTTAGATATTGGATTAGACCAGTGGCTCTCAAGCTTCATTGCACTGCAGCCCACTTCTAACAACAAAAATTACTACATGACCCCAGTACCCTGTGTGACTCTAGATTCTAGAGTCTAGAATCAGGGCTGGCATTAGGGGGTGGTCAGCAGGTCAATTGCCTGGGGCCACATACAGCAAGGGGCCACACAAAGTTGATTGGGCTTCGGCTTCAGCCCCTGGCGGCACGGAGTCTAATGCTGGCCCTGGAGGCCCCATTAAGACGAACTTGTGACCCACTTTGGGGTCGAGACCCACAGTTTGAGGACTGCTGGATTAGACTATTATAGGCTAGCAGGTCTGCAAAATTCAGACTTGTGTACAAACTTTCCCACATTCTGGGGCTCTTGGGGCTCTGGTTTTTGATTTTGCCACGTCTGTTTCAGAAACAGTTTTTATATTTGGAGAGACCTGCCTTGTCCTCTCCTTCTGCTGTTTTGGGGCAATGGGTTAGTGTGCTAGCCTTCACCGATGGAGAGCTGAGTTCAAATGCCAGCTTACTGTAGGGCCACAAGCGTGGGGAGTGTAAATAAGGCTCTCCTCCTAAACAAGTGGTAACGCAAACCCCCAGCCTCCCACCCTGACAGTCTATTTATGCTACACACAGCATTTGTCTTGTTTTTGATCAATTTTTAGTCTCCTCTGCCTTTTTTCCTCTTTGAAGTACACTAGTTACTATGGAAACAATGGTATCTTTAGTAGGGGAGGGATTAGTGACATCCATAAGCACCATACAAAGTCCATTTATTAGCATGCCAAGGTTAGAAACCTGTATCACACATTGTGGAAACAACAGTGTATATATGATGATTATCATAACCACACACATTGTGTGATATATATAATGAATATAATTATTTTTTCCCAAAAAAGAGTCTTGCCATTTCTATTCAATGTAATTTGTCATTTAAGGAGACCTAGGGGAAACAAAAATTACTGGTTCCATGTTACAGGCTGGCCATGTCTGCCTCTGACACCTACAGGTGTTGCAGGTGTTGATCCCGCTGGGAAATGCTAAGTGGGTCCTTCTGACTCAGTGATGCAGGTGTCTCTTACCTCCCCTGGATGTTAGGGAGGTGGAGAGGAGGTTCTCTAGAAAGAGAGGATCTAAGGTGTAGGCTGAGGAAGCCAGAAGGAGGAATCCTGGGAGTAGCCAAGTCTAGGGAAAAGGTGTGAGCAACACTTTATATGATCTTATTAATTTCTGTTTTTGAAATCAAATACCAGGCAAAGGGTGAGTTTGGCTTCCACACAGTGTGTGGACTGTATTTGTACAGCAGGTTGCGAAAGACACTTGCTCACATTCCATATTCTTTCCTAAAAACATTGGTTTAAAATAAATCTCATCACTAACTCTACACATGGCTTCATTTCCATAAAAGATTAAATTCTACATCTCTTCTGCATTTTAATATTTATTGGTCATGTAAAGCTGTTTTCAGTCCACTGATGTATGGAAGATACTTTGGGAGAAATATGCTAAATGCTTGCTACTGTCTCTACAAATGGTACAGTGATGTACTGTAACATGTCATTTGTAATATACTAGCATGTTGCCAACACGTGGGCTGATCCTGCAAACACACTATTGATTGTAGTGCTTCTTGCCCTGGCCTCAGTTAGGAAAGCACTTAAGTGGGTACTTTAGCCCCACTGACTTCATTGGGATTACTAAGAGTAGAAAGCACTGTGCTTGGTGGCTTTTGCAGGCTCAGACCCTCAGAGGGTGCCCTCTTTATTATGTGGAGTTGATTTTTTTCTCTTATGATAGATCCTGCCATGAATAGAGTACAATCTTTTATTCGGTGTTTGGAAAGTTCCTTGCACATGGTGCATTCTCCCATGCTTAGGCCAGGTGTACACTAGACATTTTTGCCATTATAGTAATGTTGGTTTGGAGTGTGACTTATTTTTTTTAATGAGATTTCTACACTGGCAAAAGTCCTAATGTAGATGCTGTTATGCCAGCATAAAAGTGCTTTTGTTGATTCTAATAGGACGTACATACCCCAGTGATACAAAAAGAATTCAGTGGAGCTAGAGAGCAGTTAGTGTACTCAGTTACACCTGGAGGATGGGTCAGGCCCAATTAAAGATTAGGCCGAGCTGTGGCAGAGTGGAGGAGCTTGAATTAGTCCTATCTGAGAGGAGCCATGGTCACTAATAAAGGAAGGCCTTCAGGGCAGTAGAAGGGAATCGGGAGGCTGAGGGACAGAGTAGGCCTTGAGATCCTGTCTCAAGAAGGGAGCTTTGGCAAAGGGTTGAGAGACATACCGGGAAGCCACAGAGGTGAAGTGAGCTCTTGTGGTGAGCCTTGACAAAAGAACAAGACCCCCCAGAGAAGCAAGACTCCAGAGGTTGAATTTCAGGAGGAAAGAGAGAGGTGTACAGAGGGCCTTGGGAGAAGCAGACAGGAGCCAGTTCTCCAGGGCAAAAGCCCTGGAAGACACTGTTCAGTACAGGAGTTGCAAAGAATTCTGCAGCGCCTGGGGAGGGGTGAAGGTCTGTGAATGAGTGAGTCCAGGTAGGGGCTGGGGAAAAGGACCTAGAGACAGGCTGAGGAAGGCAGCAAGGAATCTGAAGGAGCAGATGTTAGCTGTTTGCTACAGGGTCCTTGGAGAGGAACCCAGAGGATAAGGAGGGCCTGGGTTTCCCTACCAGCTGGGAGGAAGGTGGCATGAAAGCCCTAATATAAGGGGTGTAAGGACCGGCTGGCATAAGATCACTGGACTATTGTTTTATAGGACTCTGTTACCCTGGAAGGGCTGGGACTAAAAGTCAACTGGCTGCTGGGCTGGCTGAGTCACAAGACCAAGCCAGATAGGTTGTCTGCAGGGGGCTCTATAGTAGAAGAGCCTGCAATGCCACGCCCAGCCACAAGGAGTGTGTGCCAGCCAGTGAGTCATTCTTACATTGGTATAGTTTATTTCGCTCAGGGAACTGGTATAAGCTATACTAAGAAAAGCACTATTTTGGTATAAGCTGTGTCTATGCTCAGAGGGTCACCAGTCTAGATACATTGGTATAGCTATCCTGGCAAACCTTTTCTGGCATAGGCCTGGTCTATACTTAAAAATGAGATTGATCTAGCTATGTTGCTCAGGAGTACGCTGAGTGCAGTCTTTCGGTCGACCTATCCCCTGGTGTAGCTGCAGTTGACAGAAGAATGATTTAATCAACCTAGCTACTGCCTCTCGGAGAGACGGATTAACCACATCAATAGACAAACCCCTTCCACTGATGCAGGAAGCGTCTATGCTACAGCAACAGGCTACGGCACTGTACCTGTGGTGCTGTCGTGCTGTAGTGTAGACGTGCCCTATGCAAACGGCAGTGAGATGTCTAGGGCTCACTGACTTTCAGAGGAAGTTAGACACCCTGCTGCCATTTGTGCCTCTGAGAATCTTCGCCTCTACAAACGGTACATGCACATCTAGTGGTGTGCAAGGCATTTTGTTTAACGTTGCATATAAAGTCATAACACTTTGCACTGAAATGGTACCTTTCAATCCAAAGAAGTCTCAGCACTTCACAAACGTTAAGGAATGAACTCTCCTAACACCTCTGAGGGGAAGAGCCATGTCAGTATTTCCAGTTTTACAGATAGGGAAAGGCCTGGGGAGATTCAGTGAATTCTGCAAGCTGGCACAGTGATTTAATGGCAGAGTTAAGAATAGAACCCAGGAGTCCTGATTCCCTTCCCCCTGTTTGCACCCATGAGATGAGCATTCCCCTCTCAGATCTCAAAAAACAACAGATTAGGGGGATTTCCCGCTGCAAGTGGCAGGAGTGATGCATGTGAATAAAGGGAGAACAGACTCCTGCACCCCCTCCCCCCGTTAATATATTTTTATTTTTGGCATTGATACTATTATTGTCGATCCAGCAGTGTTAATGAGAGAGTCTGTGTAGATCACACTAAGACATACTTTTTTCCCCTTCATTTTATTTTAACAGAGCAGTCACTGCACTTTTATCTTTTCCTCCCTAAGAAACCAAACCTGCTCTGAACGGTAATGAGTCCATTAAAAGTTAGAATCTCCCAACTGACAACTGCTCAGGGCAGGGAGCTGAGACCTTCTGAGCTAAATGAAAGGAGGTGGCACAACCAAACATCAATACAGTAAAGACTGCTGCTATTTTTCCTTCAAATTTTACGGACTTTGGAAGAGTTTGTGAGAGAGTAAAGGGGCCAAATGCATCCCTAATAAAACCCCAATATCTGCAATGGGGTTACACAAGGGATGAAGCTGGCCTAACGGTTCTAAAAAGCCAGTTTCATGAAAGTTGGTGCAGAAAAAAGCTTAGTTTCATCCTCCAGACATTTCACAGATGTAGCAAGTGATGCCTCAAAAGTGAGGAGCACAATAGTGGGTCACAGAAATGCCACAAGTTCTAAAGCC